GCCCCCAAGGAGGCCAGAGGCCCACCCCACGTCCACCCCCCTCCGTCCTCACACCAGCCCAGCGGGGCACCCCTTTCGGCTCAGAGCTGCCAGGGTGGGGGATGGTCACTTGGTTACTTGCCTACCTTCTGGGCTCAGTCCACCAGCCTGTGAAGTGGAGACAGTTCCCACAGCCTCCTGACAGACTGCACACCCCGGAACGCAAGGGCCGAGGGGTCCTTACAACCCATGAAGCCGGCTGGTTCCTTCCGGGTCAGGATGTCCCCCGGGGAGGACTGGGGACAGTCCAGGTAGCCCCTGCGAGCCCCCCACAAGGTTGGGAGACAATACTCCAGTACTGAGACTGAGGCAGGAAGTGAGTCACAACTTTTCCTTGAGCTCTGAGCAAGAGGATCCTGTGGAGGGGCAAGGGCAGCCCCACCAAGCCCAGGCAGTGCCCCTGCCCCCTCACCACCCCAGGTCAGCCTGGGGGGGAAAAAGCAATTGCCTCAGGTGCCCCACGTGGCAGGGGGGCTGGCCCCAGAGGGCAGAGCCGAGGCCGGGGCCTCCAGACACTCCACCTTCCAGTTAGCTGTGTGGCTCACAGGTGAATTGTGGAAGGAAGGGCACAGGAGCAGATGAGCGCAGGTCAGCACCTGCCCTGATTTGGGGGGGGGGCGTCTCTCTACTTTTGTCCACTCATACGGGGTGGGAAGATGTTCACAGAAGATTGTACTTTGTAGCGAGGCACTGGTGTCTCAGGCCTGCCATCCTACATACTCAGGAGGCTGAGAGCTGAGGGCCCAGGTTCAAAGCCAGCTCAGGCAGAAAACGCTGTGAGGCACATCTCCAACAATACCACTTGGGTAGAGCACTAGCCTTGAGCAAAAGAAGTTCAAGGATAGTGCCCAGGACCTCAGTTCAAGCCCCAGGACTGGCACGCATGCACACACACACACAGCACCCCAAAACTCTTACTTTGCAGCCATTCAGCTAACACACAGCTGGAAGCTGCTTCGGAAAGACTCTGTCTCCGGCTTCACCAGCGCTCTCAAGTCCGGGGCAGGATTTTCTTGCCATCATTCCCCACCAAGCTTCGGAACCCAGGCTTTGAGAGGCAGCCTGGGGAGCCCCAGCTCTGCGGTGCGTGGTGAGGGGTACGGGAGGGGCAAGGGGTACGGGGAGAGAGCAGAGCCCGCAGCTTGTGGCTAGGCGGCACCTGGGAGGCAGGGCGCAGCTGGCCAGGCCTTTATTCCTGTGTTTGGAGCAAATCCGCCAGGCTCCTAGATAACCAGAGTTCCCCAGCCCCCTCTTCTCCCCTGGAGTGCTCTGGGAGCCCCCATTTCGCAAGCCTGACCCCCACTTAGGCAACCTCAAACAAAGCCGCCAGCAACGTGCACACCTGGCTTTAATCATCCAGCCACTCGGGGAGGGCAGGAGAGGACGTAATTGGCGCTTTCTCCGAGCGAGTGGGTGAGACTGGGGAGCTTTGGGGTGGTTCTTTTTGCTTACCTGTGCTTTCAGCGGCCTGCAGCTGCTCTTACAGCGCAGTAACCACTCTCATCTGTCATGCAGTCGGATAAAGCGCGCCAGGGCCGCCCCATCCAGCCCCAGAGCACCCGGGCTCCGTGCGGGCCGAGCGGCAGCGGCAGGCGGGCGCGCAGGCCGGCAGGCGGGCCTTCACCTCCCAGGGCAGGGCCCT